TGGATTGGAAGAATAAATATTGTGAAAATGTCTATGCTACCTAAAGCAATCTACACATTTAATGCAATTCCTATCAAAGTACCATCCATTTTTTTCAAAGAAATGGAACAAATAATCCTAAAATTTATATGGAACCAGAAAAGACCTCGAATAGCCAAAGGAATATTGAAAAAGAAAGCCAAAGTTGGTGGCATCACAATTCCGGACTTCAAGCTCTATTACAAAGCTGTCATCATCAAGACAGCATGGTACTGGCACAAAAACAGACACATAGATCAATGGAACAGAATAGAGAGCCCAGAAATAGACCCTCAACTCTATGGTCAATTAATCTTCGACAAAGCATGGCAAAAAGACAGCCTCTTCAATAAATGGTGTTGGGAAAATTGGACAGCCACATGCAGAAAAATGAAATTGGATCATTTCCTTACATCACACATGAAAATAGACTCGAAATGGATGAAGGATCTCAATGTGAGAAAGGAATCCATTCAAATCCTTGAGGAGAACACAGGCATCAACCTCTTCGACCTCAGCCGCAGCAACATCTTCCTAGGAACATCACCAAAGGCAAGGGAAGCAAGGGCAAAAATGAACTACTGGGATTTTATCAAGATCAAAAGCTTTTGCACAGCAAAGGAAATAGTTAACAAAACCAAAAGACAACTGACAGAATGGGAGAAGATATTTGCAAACTACATATCAGGTAAAGGGCTAGTGTCCAAAATCTATAAAGAACTTAGCAAACTCAACACCCAAAGAACAAATAATCCCATCAAGAAATGGGCAGAGGACATGAACAGACATTTCTGCAAAGAAGACATCCAGATGGCCAACAGACACATGAAAAAGTGCTCCATATCACTCGGCATCAGGGAAATACAAATCGAAACCACAATGAGATATCACCTCCCACCAGTCAGAATGGCTAAAATGAACAAGTCAGGAAATGACAGATGCTGGCGAGGATGCGGAGAAAGGGGAACTCTCCTACACTGTTGGTGGGAATGCAAGCTGGTGCAACCACTCTGGAAAACAGCATGGAGGTTCCTCAAAATGTTGAAAATAGAACTACCCTATGACCCAGCAATTGCACTGCTGGGTATTTACCCTAAAGATACAAACGTAGTGATCCGAAGGGGCACGTGCACCCAAATGTTTATAGCAGCAATGTCTACAATAGCCAAACTATGGAAAGAACCTAGATGTCCATCAACAGACGAATGGATAAAGAAGATGTGATATATATACACAATGGAATACTATGCAGCCATCAAAAGAAATGAAATCTTGCCATTTGCGACGACGTGGATGGAACTAGAGGGTATCATGCTTAGCGAAATAAGTCAATCGGAGAAAGACAACTATCATATGATCTCCCTGATATGAGGGTGATGAGATGCAACATGGGGGGTTAAGGGGGTAGGAGAGGAGTAAATGAAACAAGATGGGATTGGGAGGGAGACAAACCATAAGTGACTCTCAATCTCACAAAACAAACTGAGGGTTGCTGGGGGGAGGGGGGTTGGGGGGGTGGGGTTATGGACATTGGGGAGGGTATGTGCTATGGTGAGTGCTGTGAAGTGTGTAAACCTGGCGATTCACAGACCTGTACCCCTGGGGATAAAAATATATTATATGTTTATAAAAAGTAAAATTAAAAAAAGGATTTTATTTATTTATTTCAGAGAGAGAGAGAGAGAGAGAGAGAGAGAAAGAGAGGGAGAAAGAGAGGGAGAAAGAGAGGGAGGGAGAGAAGAGGAGAGCATGAGTGTGGGGAGGGGCAGAGGGAGAAGGAAAAGCAGACTCCCTTGCCAAGCTGGGAGCCTGATACAGGGCTCTGATCCCAGGACCCTGAGATCATAACCTGAGCCAATGGCAGATGCTTAACTGACTGTGCCACCCAGGTGCCCCATCTATATGTACATTTTAATATTCAACTGCATTTCATTTCTCCAGAAGCCCACGAAACACACACACACATGCACACACTCCACTGCTACCTTAGCACATTAAGGAGTGAGTAAGGAGTGATGTTGAAGTGAAGGTACCATTTTGACCCATGGTAGCACACTAATAGAAAGAAAAGCCTTTGGTTGGCACCTGCTTTTTCCTCTGTTCTTACACTTTTAGGAGTTGTGTGTTTGTCTGTATCTTTCAGGCCAGGTGGAAGTAGAGGGTGTAGAACCTTGATAGGAGATCATCGATAGAAATGCATGTGTGTGTTTATTACATAGTAAGTGTAAAATGCATAGCAAGTGCTTCTTTAATTATTTATTTCTTTAACACAGCTTATTTCAAATGCTTCACAGACCTCCAGCTACGTGGGTGGGGGTTCATAACCGAGAGCCCCTGCTGTTGTACTCTGAATTCCATCCTGTGTGCTCCGAGGGCACGCCTCCCACCTGCTGCTCTCAGCCGGGGACACTCAGTCTGGCAGGCCTGCCGCTGGAAGACTGGGATCCTTCTTGTTCTGGACTTGGGCTCAAGGAACTGGGTCCCCTCCTTTCATGGTCTTGACCAGCTTCCCTAACCTGCTGGGGCAGGCAGGAATGCCTCCAGGCTCTTTTCCTCCTCTGCTTCAGGTGGAGGCAGCCTTCCCCTCTTCTCTCATGGAAGAAAATCCTTGCATATTTAACTCTGTCTTGGCCTCTGCTTCTCAGGAGAACCAGAACAACATATTCAAGCTGATGAAAAGCACAGCTTTGCAAGACAAAGACTAAAAGGAGACATAAAGGAGGAAGAGAGGGAGTTTATCTATTTGGGTTAGCTGATAGACATGTCCAGAACTCTCAACAATGCACAAGAAATTAATAACAGTGGTATGCTATGTGAGGTTTTGGGAAGAATGAATGGGGACAAGAGCTGGGAGAGAAACTTTTCAAAGTATACCCTATAATATACAGTTCCTTGATTTTCCAAGCAAGTAAATGTACAATAATTTGAAAATGTAAAATTATATATTTGGATTTAAAAAAAAAAACCCATGAATTGGAGAGAAAAACAAAGTATACCCTTTGGAGATGGATCCGAGTTGGAGTCTACACTCAGCTGGTGATTCTGGGAGCATAATGGATCTCGGGAGGGTCACTGGGCTCTTGGATTCCAGATATCAGTGAGTTGCTTTTCTCCTTGAATTCTATGATCTCATTCACTGGCTCTCAAGAAGGCAGATTCTGCCAGTCCCATTGCCACTGGGCTTGGCCTTGGGCTCTCTCGGGCTAGGGGCCTGTGAGGCCACGAGCTAGTGAGTCTGAGAGGCTCTCAAGAACCAGTGCGCTAAGCAGACCTTGCTGTCCCTTCCTTCCGCCAGGGAACCACAAGTCCTGAGCTGGGGGGGAAAGGGGGAGCAGCCTGGTGGTGGGGGAGGAAGGATGGGCAGGGAGGTGTCGGGGTGGGGAGTGTGGGGGTGGGGAGGGCCGGCAGAGGGCTGCTTTGACAGCTTGGATTCTTGGAATAAAGTGGCTGAGCCACAGCGGGCTTGTAGCTGCCGCCCCCTGATGTGTCATGCGAGCAAAGCAAACTTCTGTGGTTGCAAACCACTGTGGTTATTCCCTCAACTTTTTATTTTTATAAAAAATTCAGAATAAGGTTGAAAGGGTATTATGATCGACACCTCACTTAGCTTCCCTGGTTGCTGACATTTTGCCACATTTGCTAAATTTCTCTTGCTCCCACTCCAGATATAAAGCCCTTGATTTTTACTGAGGCATTGGAGTCATAGGCATGATGATGCTGTACCCCTAAATCTTTCCACGTTATATCCTAAGAACATGGACTTTCTCCTGTATGACCATAATACTGTTGCCAGGTCCAAAAAAACACAGTTTTTTGTTTACCACTGTTATCACCAGCAGTGATATTGTTTACCATACAGTTCATATTCAAATTTGTCAAAATAATACCCTTGGAATTTTTTTTTTCCCTTTCTGATCCAAAACCCAGGTGAGGATCATACTCATCATCATCTCTCTAATCTCCTTTAATTTAGAACAGTTCCTGAACTCTTTTGGTTCCTCTCTTGTGGAACCGAGAGCTTAGACCAGTTGTTTTGTGGAATGTATCATTTCCTGGATATATCTGATCTCTCTTCCTCATGATTCTTTAGATTCAGGTCAAACAGTTGTGGCAGGCATATTACACGTGTCCCGTTGTTTATTCCAACCGGGAGGCACAAATAATGTGATTGTTCCATTGGGGTGATGATAAATTCTGACCCCTTGTTAAGTTGTTGTACACCAGATTTCTCCAATGACGGTTCCTTTATCCCTCTGTGGGGATAATCTGTGAGGTGATACTTAGACACTTGGTAAATATCTTGATCCCAACAAAATCTCCCCACTGCTTTCAGCATCCATAGGTGATCCCTTTCTGAAACAATTATTACCTGGATAGTTGTGGAGTGGTGATTCCCTGGTGCCACCCCCCCACCCCATTCTGTTATTCTATTATGTGGATTTTGTAAAGAAAACTTCCTCTCTGCTCCCATTTATTTTTGAGTATCACTATGGACTCATGGATTTTTAAAAAACACACATAATGTTATAATCCTTCATCATTATCCTTTTTGTTATTTAAACTGTCCTGAATTTGTACAACGGGAGCTCTTGTCAAGCTGGATCCTGTGTCCTTTTTACATGTTTCTGCCTGCCTTTTGAGAATTTTCTTGTTTTCTGGCACAGTAAGATGTTCTAGGCTGACCTTTGATATTTACTGCCACAGACCTGATGATTCTTTTTATTTGTGAGAGAGACTGAGAGAGTGAGACTAAGATTTGGGGAGAAAGCTGATAAAGGAGGCCGGAAAGGAGATTTAGCATTAGCAAATATTGAGGGAATTCTTGACCAAAGATTTACCTTGGGTAGGTCTCTCAGGTTTCCCCAAAGCCGAATCTCCTCTTCTGGAAAATAAAGATTATTATGCCTATTGAATGAGTAGGTTTGCAAAAATGAACAAACCTGATTGATTGGCATATGTTCAACGTTCAATTACCATTACTGACATACTTCCAACCAAGTTAATTTCTGCGATACTTAAGATTTCCAATTACTGTTCCCACTGTGGTTGACTTATGATTAAATTTGTTTAAATTTATGTTCTGAGGGGCTGCCTGGGTGGCTCAGTGGGTTAAGCCTCTGCCCTCAGCTCAGGTCATGATCTTAGGGTCCTGGGATCGAGTCCCACATCAGGCTCTCTGCTAGGCAGTGAGCCTGCTTCCTCCTCTCTCTCTCTCTACTTGTGATCTCTCTCTGTCAAATAAATAAAATCTTTAAAAACAAATTTATGTTCTGAGGCTTTGTTTAAATATTGCTCTACAACCAGATGGGGTAAAATCTAAAGGACTGATGAACAAAGGTCTTTCAAGGGAGTAGGTATACATAAGTTTAAGAAGGAAGCAAAAGACACACACATACCCCGCAGATGTATATGTATACTTCATGGTTTGAAATAGGATCTTAAATGAGAGATGGCATAGTAAAACTTGACCGGCCTTAAGTCCAAGATTGGCTGCTTCCATTTCTTATCTTACAAGGGAAGGGAATGACACTCCCTGAGCAATTGATGTAAATGTAAAATTCAGAACAAGAAGACCCATGTATAGAGGCAGGGAGTGTTTCATTTTTCTTCCAGTTTTGTAACTGGCACACAACACTGTTTGAGGTGTACGGCACAAAGACTTGAAACACATGCATATCGCCCAAGGATTAGCACAGGATGTTAGTATCTGTTGCTTCAGAGATTGTGACGAGAACTTTGAGGATTTATATTTTTAGCAACTTTCAAATATATCATATTGTTAATGACAGTGATCAAGTTGGACATTACTTCCCCAATACTGATTGATCTTATAGCTGGAAGTCTACTTGCTGACCACATTTCACCCAGGTCCCCAAGGGAAGGCAGGGGTGCCTTGTCCAGTATCTGTTCTTTAGCCGGTGCCGCCCCCTGGTGGTGACATCTTCCCATTGCAAGTCGGAGCCGAGGGGAAAAGGCCACGGGCTTAATTTGTAAACTTAAACGCCCCAAGTAAAGCCACAGCGTTCGACAACTCTGAATAAACATCATTATCATACTTCACCCAGGTTATACGTGCTTCGATAGCAATAACACGCTGTTATGACAGAGTGAGACGCTGAGCTGGAACTTCCCGCAAAGGAAGTCAATCATTGAACACGTATTTATTGAGTGCCTACTGTGTGCCGGGCACGGCTCTGGCCCCTTGGGATAAGAGACAAAATTCCACCCCAGTGAGATAGGGAAACTGAGGGACTCCATAAAAATCTGCTTTTTGTTCCTTTTCCTGCTTCTATTCTTGCTAGGACCTGCACCCCCACTTTACACATGCCTTATAATACAAACAGTGTGTATCCTCTTTGTAAGGGACCAGGAGTGAATGATTTCTTTAGAACAGATAATTTCTATTCCATTCCATTCAGGTGAGAATGGCGAGAAAGCGTTCCTATGGTATTCCAGGCCACCAGAGCTAGACATCTGGACACCAAGACCCCCCCCCCCCCCCAACCCCGGCTCACAGGAATAAGACCTGAGCCCTCACCTCTGTTCTAACTGGTTCCTGGACGCCTAAGAGGACACCGCCGTCCTCAGTAAAAACTCCCAGGCTCCCAGCAAAGCCGAAGCTCTCTCTTTTCCTTTCTGAGTCTCCCAGACACCCTGTCTGGACCTGCACTCTCTCTAGACTTCCATAAACTCTGCTTTCCCCTCCTGCGGGCTCGTGTTTCAATTCCATCTTGCACACAGCCAGGGATCCTCTCAAGAGGCTGGACCTGCCGGCATCACCAGGATGCCTCCAACATGCTCTCCCTATACTCCAACTACTACATAAACTAATTTGTGAAGAGTTCTATGGCTCATAGAGTTCCCTTCAATGGCCCAATAAACGCAGAAGCCTGGCACAGGTCCCTCCGCCCACCCAAGAACTCACCCTTGCAAAACCGAGAGTTGAGCTGTCATCAGCGTGACCCGCCGGGCTGACCACGGAAGTCGTCTTTCCCCGGTTTTTCCTCCCCAGAAATACTCTTGGCGGGAAGCAAGGGTTTCGTCCAGCTCTCTGGGCTCGAACTCGCGGAGGCAGGCGGGTGAGGGAGCCAGACAAACTGCGCGACTCCAAAGAGGGAGGATGTTTCCCTGCGGAGCCCCCGGGGCTGGCGGACATGGCCCCCTACGCGCCCCTGGAACGTACCCCAGCTCTGGACACCGCCCTCCCGGCACTGATCTTCAGCGAGGCGCAAACGCGCCCCCTAGCGGCGGCCCGCGGCCCGAGCGTGGGGGATCGGAACTAAACTGGTGTACGGAACGTAGGGTGTGTGCTTAGAGTTTCCGGGGAGGGGGTGCAGAAGAGGACCCGCGCGAGGCGATTCTTACGGCAGAGGAGGAGGCAATGGCCGTGGGGATCCGGGGGCTGCGCCTCTGGCGGGCCGCCCCCAGTGGCGGGGCTGGCTGGAGTGAGTTTCAGCGTCGGTGGGGACGAAAGCGAGGCTTGAAGGATTGTCTGCTCAGATGGGGCCTGCGGCGGGTCCTGGGAGGTCCCACGGGGTTGAGGGCGGAGGTGGAGCTTTAGGTGCCAGCTGTGGCGGCCGCCGCCGCCTCCCGGCCTGAGGGTCCAGACCTCGGGGCGCGGAGAGAGCGGGAGGAGCTCCGGGCCCGTCTGGGAAGGACCCCCGCGTCCCGGCGTGACATGTGCTCGTTTTCCCATTGGAGTACTCGTACCGGCTTTATCCCATCCGCTCTCATTTAGGGTTTGGAAAACAAGTTCAGCATTTCCCTCTCTGGTATGGGTCGTTTTGGCGAGGGAGCTCCGTCCTCTGGAGCATTCTTGTCCCCAAGGTCTTCCAGAGCGACAGCTTTGCTCACCTTCCCAGTGACTGGTCTGACTTGGACTCTGCTTCCTGGTTACTCTTGGCAGAGTTTGGAGTACGACGGAAAACCGGTGGGCGGCGCAGATCTGGTGGGGAGAGGGCTGAGTTGAAGGCTGGGGGTCTGGGCGGGCTGCGGATTTCTTCCGTTGGCGTTTTCATCACTGACCCTGGAAAGCGGTTCAGGCTGACCTCTGAGCGCATTTTGGCAAACGGCCGTTTAAAATTGCGTGGCCTCCCCTTCCAGTAGGAGGGTGGTGCGGGGTGGGGTATCCCCGGTGCGTTACGCATTCGTTCCCTGTTGACAGGTCTTGTCACTTCCACCCAGGGTCGATCGCAACATCGCCAGCTTCTCGCCTCTCACCGACCGAACTGATAGAAATGCAGAATGATCTCTTCAATAAAGAGAAGAACAGGCAGTTGTCATTAACTCCTCGCACCGAGAAGATCGAAGTTAAACACGTTGGGAAAACCGACCCTGGCACAGTTTTTGTGATGAATAAAAACATTTCTACTCCTTACAATTGTGCTATGCGTAAGTAGCGAACCAGTATCCAGTTTTGACTGTTTTGTGTAAACTCTGCGGAAGAATTGGTTCCGAGGAGGCGAGACTCGGTGGTTGCTCCCTGAACTTGGAGACATTCTCCTTTATCGAGCATCTTACTCTCTGTTCGCTGTCTTTAGCTCTTCAGAGAACCGTGGGTCTAGAAAGGCCAGCCCTGTCATGCACCGGTGGTCCCCGGACGCGCTTGAATCCGGCGGGGTTTGGGGTGCTGTTAACTGTTTCAGGAGTGATGAGGCAGAGGTGTTACTAGTGTGCTTGCCCTTTTTAGACAGCACCCTGGGGTGATGGGAGCGGTCACTATGGGGAGCTCATCAAAGAAATTTGGGGTAGAGGGACAGCCCTGGCCTCGGATGACCAGCTTTTTGGGCCGCCTTTTCCTTTCTAGCTCTTTATGGCCTACTTTCAGTCTTACCTGCTTACCACTTGCCTCCTTGTGTGTTACGTTTTTGTTCATACTGTGTTTTGACAGTCATGTGTCTACGGAGTAAATGTGTCAGTGGAAATATGCATGGGGTGCATGTGATGAGGGTCAAATTATGTGTTGTGTTCATATTTTAAAGGAGATAACTGTGCCCTCTGTGTGATTCAGTGTGTACAGGAAGGGTACAGGGCCTCTTTATAGATTATTTGTGATCAAAATGCTTTTATTTTACATTTTTAAAGATTTCACTTATTTATTAACGGAGAGAGACACAGCGAGAGAGGGAACACGAACAGGGGAGTAGGAGAGGGAGAAGCAGGCTTCCTGCTGAGCAGGGCGTCCAGTGCCAGGGAGCCCGATGTGGGGCTTTATCCTAGGACCCTGGGATCATGACCTGAGCTGGAGGCAGGCACTTAACGACTGAGCTCCCCAGGCGCCCTGATCAAAATGCTTTTAAAGTACCTTTGTTCTATCAAACTGGTAATATTGAAATTTAGAAAGCTTTCAAAATAGATCTGTACACCAGCATGCTTGCTCATATATACGACTAGCTGCATTCTTTAAACTTTTGGAAAACTCAGTAATGATTTCATTTAAGTAATAAATAATTTTAGTTAAAAGCTTAAGCTAGCATATTACTCTGGATCTTCCTTTGCTTGGGCACTTGAATTAGTACTTATGATCATTGTTTACTTGTTTTGTGAACATTTCCTGGACCGTTGCTGTGTGATAGGCATTAGGATTACAGAGGTTAAGACAAAGTACAGGTCCTTAAGGAGCTTTGTACGTTTCACATGTCGAGACGAAGCCTGTGAGCGCCCTTAGCACGACTCCTGCACTGATGCTGGCTCGTCGTGCGTACCTTCTCACATCACCCGCTACGCTTTCGCGTCCTTACCATGCTACAGGCATGGCGCTAGGTTCTGCATATACGAATGAGTGAACGAAACCAGACCTGATCCCCTCTGTATGGAACTTAGACCCTGTACCAGGAGCTTGACCCCTTCTGTGAGTAGCTGTGTACTTGAAAGACATCTCACCAGGGTTGGAGTTGCACTTGCCTTCTGGTCAAAGAACAGGCCAGAGATGATGGGCTTATATGTGAATTCGTACTGATAATTAAAAACTGTTAGTGGTATTTAACTTGAACAGGCCATGTTAGGAAAGTAAGAGGTGGTTTGGAAGCAAGACCCCAAACCCATTTAGACCAGATTTACTCTGGATATATATTTAGATATTTTCTCTTAAGTTATGTGGGTACATATCCAAATATATCCATGATGCCACTCTCTTAATATTTAAGTGTAGCTCTTGGGAAATTGTTTTACTCCTTAATAATTGACAGATTAATTTGAAATTAGACTTAGCCTAATGATTTTTGTAAATAATTTGGACAATTTTGTTAGTAAGAATATATCGGATGTGTTGAATATTTTTTTATTAGTTACAGATGTAAGTTGTAAGACTTTTTTTCCCCTGAAGGAAGTCATTGCAGAATTTTGCTTTTCTGTTGTTTTATTTCTTAATGGAGCACTTAAACATGTAACTTTTCACTTTGGGGTTTGTTAGATTTAGACCTTCAATCTGTTTTAAATCCCTAGATTTAAGTGAGTGGTACTGCAGGAAGTCCATTCTGGCTCTTGTGGACGGACAGCCTTGGGACATGTATAAACCTTTGACCAAATCCTGTGAAATTGAATTTCTTACTTTCAAAGATCGTGATCCAGGAGAAGTGAATAAGGTATTTCTGCCTCTGTGTTCTTTTTTCCCCCCTAGTTTTCTTCTTCTTCTTCTTCTTCTTCTTTTTTTTAAATTAAAATACTTTTGCTACAGTCCATTAAATGTGCAAATGTGGCCAAGGTCAGATGTAATGTACTAGATAACCAGTGTTTTGCTTAGATTAGGCATTTCCACAGTTCAAAAAATCCTTGAACTTGGCATCCTTTCTTTGTATTTTGGTGTGAGAAAAACTATTTAGCTTGTCTTTACATTCATATCTTTGGTGCACTGACATTTATTGATCACTCTCTATATTACATTCCCAATACTGCTTGAATTCAGCCTTTGATCATTGTTGGATTATTCCAGTAACTTTTTAACTCTGCCTCCTGCCCCCATTTTAAATTCTAAAGTCTTCCTGAGTAGCCATGTAAGAGTTTCACTAAGTGACATGACTAAGGATTGTGTCACTTTTTTCCTACCTGGTAACTTTCAGGAATGACATGAAAGTTATTCCCCTTCCTTTCCAAACCCTGTGCGTGATCTGATGCCAGCCTGGCTTTCGAGCTTACTTTCATGGCAGCTTTCCACTTCCTCTTTGCTCTGGTCATACTAAGGGCCTTGGTCACTAATGGTTTAGCCTCCTGGCTTTTGCTGATGTTCTTCTTTAACTCTGGGTATTTTCTTTCCTCCCTATTTCTCTTTTATAGTTCAATTAAAATGCTACCTGCTCTTTGGGATGTTGTCAGTTTCTTCTTGTCAGAACGAATCCCTCTTTAGGGCTTCACAGCACTTGGATAAATGTCTCTAGATATAATATTTTAATATTAACTTGCAATATGAACCATTGAACGCATTGGATTCTTGGCTCTGTGAAAACAGGGATTATGTCCCCTGTTGGACCTAGTTCTTGACTTACATACAGTAGGTATTCAATAAGTATATGTTGAAATGAAACACTTAAGAAAATGATAGACATGATAATAGCTCACATCACGTATTATGTATCAGGCACTATCTTAGTTGATTTATAGGTATTAACTCATTTACTCTTCATAAAAATCCCATAAAAATGGGTACTATTATTCCCGGTTTCCAGATAAGTAAACTGAAGCAAAGAGAGGTTCAGCAGCTTGACCAAGCTTACCAGTTTAGGAGATTGTGGCGCTTGGATTTTAATCTAGGTGTTCTGACTCCGGAGTTCAACAGACATTAAAAACATTTAAGTAGGATAGATGAGGTGCATTTTACTACTTACTTTCAAAGCCTGGATTTGTTATTTTTAATGTATGGTATGTGGTTCTGTAGAATAAATCCTGGAGCAGTTTCTGCTGCACACAACCAAGTGAGCCCATTTTTTTAGTCCTCAGGCAAGGAGTGCTTATGAAGGTCAGTTGCCCAGTTATAGTGGTGCCAGTATGGGACATAGTATGGGCAGGTCTGGTGTGGGACTTGTGTTTCTGTTTATGACTCTGATCAGTTCATTGCATGGATACCCACATTAAGCATGTCCATGGGTCAAATGTGCTGGTAAAATGAAAGCCCAGTTAATAGGTTGCTTTGCTGTAAATACAAATAACTTGAGTGGATGTGCCGTGCGATGTTAGTTAGAGCGTGGGAGTCATAAATTCTTAAAAGTTGAGTTTTTCCTCTCTATTATATATGGTATAAACAGGTTTATATTAATACATTTTTTTTTAACTTTAGCACAAGTTTGTTAACAAGTTACCTTTATCTTGGGTTAAACATAAAGTTGCTACCAGATAGTGAAACTATGTATTGTTTGATAACATAGTGCGTGATATCTGGCACAGAAGCATTGCTAACAGCACAAGTTGGTGCTTCATTCTTTTGTGCCTTTTGCTTGGGAGAGGTAATGTCATGGCCTGATGTTCCCTATTGCTACATGCTGAGGATGGACAGAGAGCTCCTGAGTCAAAAGTTAACCTAAATTTGAATACTAAAGAAATGTTAGTGAATCTTATTATGTATTATGTTTGCGTGTATTTTATTTTCCTAGGCTTATTGGCGTTCTTGTGCCATGATGATGGGCTGTGTGATAGAGAGGGCATTCAAAGATGAATATGTGGTCAGTTTGGTCAGAGCTCCAGAAGTTCCTGGTAATGTACACACACACATGCATATCTTTGTAATCCTTCAGTGGTTTGATACCTATTTTTGATAATTTATAGAGATGCTTTCTTTTTTTAGCTTACGTCTAATTTTATATAATATATACTACTATCATACATATATTCCATTTATAATGGGTAACAAAACGTCTTATTAATTAATGGAGTCCGTTATTACATAATGGAATTCGAGGAGCATGTTTCTTTTGAATATGAATTTCATGTAGTTACATTGTCTTGGTGTTTGTTTCCCGCCTTTAAGCATGTATTTCTTTTTTTTTTTTTTTTAAAGATTTTATTTATTTATTTGACAGAGAGATCACAAGTAGATGGAGAGGCAGGCAGAGAGAGAGAGAGAGAGAGAGGGAAGCAGGCTCCTTGCTGAGCAGAGAGCCCGATGCGGGACTCGATCCCAGGACCCTGAGATCATGATGTAGAGTATTAACAGCTTAACCCACTGAGCCACTCAGGCGCCCTAAGCAAGTATTTCTAAATCAAATGTGTGGAGGAAGAGGAAGTGAGAACATAGATAGAATTCTGGAGTAAGCTATGTTTAGGTGGCACTGTTTCACCAGAAACATCTATTACTCTGGAGAGGAACCATTTTGGGAAGAATGAAGAGTTCACACTCTTTGTAATTTTGGTGAAACTAGGGTTTTGCATCAGTATGTGCAGTAGGATCACATTTGTAATTTAAAAAAAATATATAGAAGTATATATACCAAAAATATTTAAAAAGCTCAATGAATGATTCTAAGAAGGGCAAAACAACAAAAATAAGGAAGTTTAGAACACAAAAAATTCAACATTTTGTGTCCATTTAGTCATTCACCTACATATTAAATATCTTATTCTTTTGGAATTTTTATGTTTAGTAACTATTTGAAATCTCTGTAGTGATACTATTCTGGAAGAAAACATGAATGCTTAAAAACATACTAGTGATTTTGGGTTAACAAAAGGTGAATTAGTTTTTTGGGTGGGGCAAAGTTGGTAGAACTTTGGCAAGAGCTGGGATAATGGTTACAGTTTTATAGTTTGTAGAGTTCAGAGAAATTGTTGGCCCTTCATTTTATGGTCTAAATATTCATTTGTTCCCAATAAGTCACTCTACTGTAACAGATTTGACTTTGCCTTTCATTTTGGTTGGATTTACAGTAATCTGTGGAGCCTTCTGCTATGATGTAGTTCTGGATAAGAGACTTGATGAGTGGATGCCAACAAAAGTAAGTATAGTGTTTGGAATATTAATTTTAGGATCTGTGCCTTTTGTTGTTAGAATGAGTCCTAAATTGTTGAATGCTTCTGCATGTTGAAAATATTTAATTTAAAAGACCCTACTTACCTACCTCCCTACCTGTGTTGTTGGCTTTTTCAGTGAATTGAAGATAGAGGCAGATGAATGGGGGTATTACAATGTGGTCAGTTGTGTGGAAGCTTTGTGTCCTGCTTGAAGTACTTTCTTCCTGGTACTGTTCATTCTGTTTCTTAAGATAGTGGTTTTCAAGATGCCCAGAATATAAAATAGAGAAGGTTAACCATCTTGGTTGATGTGGTGGTGGGAGGCTTGGAGCCTTACTTTCTTGAATCACCCGAGCACAATTTGAAAACCACTGCCCTAAACGATTTTAGCCTGTTGCATGCTGTGAGATCTCCCTATACGCAAAGGTTACCCTGAAAGGAGGGATAGAGGGTAGAGGATAGAGTGAATTAAGAATCAGGCTTTGACAAAGCTAACTCAGATGGCAGCAAACTAGACAATTGGTGAATGATCTGATTGTGTAATGAGTTCGTCCTTGTTGGTCTGGCAACTGGGTAGCACATGGCTAACAAGGATGATTTAGATCAGATGCTCTGTAAGGAGAGTATACTGATGACTTTAAATTGTCAAGCCTAGAAATTCAGTTATCACTGGGGAGAAGAGGCAAATACTTGATTCTTAAGCAAAACTGTATGTCCTACACATGGAAGTCTGGAGATCAGGAAAGGAAAGGTGATGTACCATACCATTTTATCAATGCTACTGTGTACATTTTTTTCACATTTTAACATCTCTGAAAAAAAAATATATCTTAGAGTAGATAGCATCTTATAATTGGTAGTGTTTTTTCCTTAGTGGTATATTTTAGATTTAGTGAAATATTGTAGTTCCTTATTGCAAAATTTTGGAGTTTTTTATGTCTAGTAATTAGTAATTCTGGCTTTGGAAGTTGTTTCTTGTATAATCCTGCTCAAATTGGTTAATATCAAGAAGGACAGCAGAGGGAAACAGGAAGGAACAAAGAGAAAAACGGAGAGAGGGGAGAGGGAAGAGATGTAGAAAGAAAGGTGGGGGGGTGCAGGGGGGTACAGGGAAGGGATTGGAACTCTTCGTGATCTCTGAACTTGTGTCAGTATAATTTCTCTTTCAGATATGCCCTCAAATTTAAGAAAGGATTCTCACTTGTTGGGCGGTTAAGTAAAAACTAATGAGATTAAGAGTTCTCATTATGTATGAAACTTGCTGCCTTCTTTTCCTTTTTTTTAAATGTAAAACTTTAAATAAAAAAGAAATGTACTAATTACAGGCACCATGGGGTTGGGTGGATCACTTAGAAAAAGTGGTGGAGAGTTACATTCAAGTAACAGTTGTATAAAATCATGAATGTGGATTTGTTATAAATTGTCCCTTTACAAATGGAGAAGAGTCATTTCATGCAAAAAAATCTAATAGGAAGTTTATGGAAAGAATTTTATTACAAAAATTACTTGCGTAACAGTGCTTGGTCTTTTCTGTATTAGTAATGATTTATAATATGAAAACTCAATTACAGCTTTTATTAAAAGTGTCATAAATATTGTTAATGTGTATTAATCAATCATTTTAATTGCATAAAAGTGACTTTTTATTCAACATGAATTTTTATATTAAATGTATGCTATATTTTGGGCAGGGCCAATGATGACATTATATTTCCTGGTAAAATGTTCTGAATGACAAAGAATAATTACCCTGTTCATTTAAAAAAGCTTAGTTTTACTTAAAATGTAAGCACATTTTTGTATCTTTTTATTAGCATTTTTAATTGCATCATGTTTTAATAAACTGTAAGGGTTGTATAATTTGAATGAAATGTTTATTAAGATTTCTTTGTAGGATTATCTTTAATAATTAGTATAGGCTAATATCTCAATTACAAGTAAATTACAAGTTTCATAGTTAAATTTATGGTCTGAATACTTAATTGTTATAAATTAATAACTCCTAACAAACTTGCTTTTGCTTTTTCTTTTAGTTGGATTTATAATATTTAGCATACAGTTTTATCTGCCTTATGGAGAAATGCTTTTAAGTCAATTGTTACAAAAAGTTAATACTTTCATTTTGAAGGAGAACCTACGTTCCTTCACGAAAGATGCTCACGCTTTAATTTATAAAGATCTTCCATTTGAAGTTCTGGAAGTGGAAGCAAAAGTGGCATTAGAAATATTTCAGCACAACAAGTAAGTGTTGGCTCCCTTGGAAGTGAGATTCAACCTCCTGAAGTTATATGTAATGAAGAAAATTTAGCTCTTAAGAATCTCTATATCTGATGTGTATGGGACACTTACTTTTAGCTCTCAGATCTCTTTTTCTGTACCTATTTACTTTGATTCATCTCATTACTTATTTCACAGAGAAAAGACCTCCCCACACTTCGATAATTCTGTTTGTCTTACTTCTCTGTTTCTTTGACCAGAGAAGTCCTTCACTTCATAGCAGCATTGCAGTGTGTTTCCCCTTTTTCCTTTCATCATGAAGTGATAGCATACATGGAACTGTATCATTTTGTTCATTTGGCAGCCTTTGCTTCTCACCCTCCTACTCTTTAAATGACAGGGGTGAGATAGAGAATGCCAGTGCTCTGGAGGGAGCTAACACCAAACCAAAATATTCACATAGCCAGGTCTTAGTCTTCTGCACCAGAATTATTCACTGGTGGATTTTCTTTGCCAACGTTTTAAATCTTCCCTAGGTCCTCAGTCCCCTTTCTCACTCAGAAAACTTAAACTTTACCTTCTTCTACTAATTGTAACAACATAAACTATATTTTAATATTAATCTAATTGAAATTAGAATTAATTAGGGAAATCTTCATTGCAAAAAAATAACATAGATACTACATTCTTAAGACAGAATATACCCCTGCAAATCGTTCAAGGTTATGGGTTGGAATTTCTTTAGGTATTTATAAAATGAGATGTAAGTTTGCATAGGGATGGCTTATAATATTTCCCATATCCTGGAACCAGTGTACTAAGAAAGCAGTGGGAACATACTAGTTTAACTGAACTAGACTGCAGGTAGTTCTATAGACCCAAAGCACCATTGATTCTATAAGAAAATTCCTTGTATTATTAGAACATATCAAGACACTTCCTGTGCTACAATTCTAGGGTCGTGCTGTCCAATAGAGATATAATGTAAGCCATCTATATAACTAAATTTTCTAGTAGCTACATTAAACAAGTCAAAAGGTGAAGTTAATTTTAGTAATACATTTTATTTAAACAATATATCTAAAATGTTAATTCAGCATGTGATCAATATTACAAAATTGATGATGCTTTACAGTTTTATATGCTAGATCTTCAGAATGTCATGTAGTTTACTTTTTTTTTTTTTTTTAAAGATTTTGTTTATTTATTTGACAGAGCGATCACAAGTAGGCAGAGAGGCAGGCAGAGAGAGAGGGGGAAGCAGGCTCCCCACTGAGCACAGAGCCCGATGCAGGGCTCGATCCCAGGACCCCGAGATTGAGACCCAAGCTAAAGGCAGAGGCCTAACCCACTGAGCCACCAGGCGCCCCCCCTCTACTCTTAAGGCACATTTCAGTTTGGGCTAATTACATTAAGTGCTCCATAGCCACCATAGTGTACTTTAGATGTTCATTCCATGAGATTTCCCATTCCCTCCGCTCCACTTTATAAGTCTAGGAGGGCTTGTAGGAAAGTTAGTTGAATGTGTGGAAGGAGGTTTAGGGATGGTTTGGGGGCAAGTTTGAGGGGACAGAGAATTTTGGATGGTTAAGGTAGGTCAGTGATTAGGCCTTCTGCTGTAGGGGGAGCCTTACATGGCTTTGACTCCCAGGGGACAGGTGCATCTCTTAGAGGTGGGTCAAGAGGGACAAATATTAAGGGAACTAGCTCCCTTAATAATGTATGGGGGGCTTTGGCAGAAGGGGTATGGCAGTAAGTGAATGTTTTCACATCAACTCATACTTCCCAACTTTGCCATACACCCACTTAATACTCGTTTAGCTCTGGGGTAAAGAGGGCTCTTAATAGTGGTAAAATTATGATTTGATCCTGGGTTGTGCAGTTCCATCTCTGCTATTAGCTGTAGTAACAGGATTGGGTAGATTTGAGAAACATTTAGGCAGTAGAATTGACATAACTTGGCAATGAATTAGATGGAGGGGGTGTGGCAGGAGAAGCAGGAATCAAGGAAATCTCTGAAGTTTTTCACTTAGGCGTGTGGGTAGTTGGCGGTGTCATTTACTAAGCTAGGAAACTCAGGAGTAAGAATACATTTGGCAGGAAAAGAAGGAGTAAATTTTTGCTCTGTTTGAGAATTGCAGAGTGTAAGGTACTTGTGAAACAGTCTAATAGTTGTTCAGGAGGGTCTTAGATATGTAGTTCAGGGCTCATAAGAGGGATGTGGATTAAAAGCTGAACTGTGGAAGGAGGGAAACAGAAGTGCGATTAAAGCTGTGCATGTTAAGGAGCTAGCCCAGGGAGGATACTTAGTGAAAAGGGGCTGTAGGACAGGTCCACTGGAGAGTGGACAGGGGGAAGAGTGGCCAGAGAGTTAAAGTATTAAGCAGTAGGGAGTGTCATGGAAGCCAGAGGAAAAGAGCACTCGGAGAGATGGAGTTTGGTGGAGTTGTGACACTGTGGCCAGACTGAAGGATGTGAGGTGTGAAGGGGAGGCTCCAAGTGTAAACCCCTCTTTCAAAAGCTATGGCTAAAGAGGAAGAGAAAGGGAGGGGTCCTTTAAAAATTTTGTATATTTAGAAGTAAATTTTTTTTTTTCTTTGCCACTTTTTAGGTACAAAATGGATTTCATAGAAGAGAAGGCATCTCAGAACCCTGAAAGAATAGTTAAGCTACACAGGTAAGTAAAAATAAGTTGGCTGTCATGCTAATTTATAGGAAGATGTTAGCTTTATTGTTGTTACCCAGTGTGGTGTATGACTGCAAAAGATGCATTTGTACTCAAATTTGTTATTCTCATTATCTTATTTTCTTTTGCTTTGTTCATTGTTTTTGTAGGGTGGTAACTGGATGATTTAAATTATCTTCAGGAGCAGTTCTGGTTTCTGTTCCTCATTCTATTGTTATTTTTATTTCAGCATTTCAAGAGTTGAAAACCATTGTTTAAAAATGTGATTTTCAAAAGTTAATTTTGAAATTGGGCAAAATGTTCATTGCTACGAATTGAACATAATTCATGTGTATTCACAAATGTCAATACTGACTAATTACTACTTACGTTACATATAAGTAAATAAAATAGGAATGTGCTTTCTGATACAGGGATGAGGGAGGTAAGACAATGCATAATGCGTATGCAGAAGTGACTTCGTGACCTATATCTTTTTTTCTCAGCCTCATGTTTTCTTGGCTCAGAGTTAATTTTTTTCTACAAAGCTGCTCTTTGGACAATCTGTTGTATACATTGAGTTCCTAACTCTATTACAATGAGTTGTTACAAGGTTATAGATGATCAGTTTTAGAAATTGGATTAACTCAATAGCATGATGCGTTCAGTGGTCTTAAAAATCTCTGTAAAATTTTATCAGTGCTAATGAAGAACAGGGTTTACTTGACTTTAATTTTCATAGTTTTAGCCTCCTCACTTGAGATTTATTGTATCAGGAGCAGTAGAGACTGAATTGACCCACATGAAATGTTCTTGACTTGGGGACATTGTCCCAAAGAGAATAAATAGATTTTTTCTAAACTACTGTAAATGGTTTCATTTTGAGGTTTAATGTGTTTGTTTTTAAAATCAAATCAGGTTTGGTGACTTCATTGATGTGAGTGAGGGTCCTCTTATCCCAAGAACAAGTATTTGTTTCCAGTATGAAGTGTCGGCAGTTCATAATCTTCAAGCCACCCCATTGAGTCTTGTACGAAGATTCCAGGGTTTGTCTTTACCCGTACACTTAAGAGTAAGTAAAGCTTAAAGTTTCAGATCGTCCAGTTTGAGGGTGGGTGTGATTCTGGTCTTGATTTTATACCAATTTGAAGGACATACATTTTAATTTTCACTAAGTTGTGTGACAGTAGTACTTTGTAAATTCAGGTTTATGATAAAAACAATTTTCCCTGGAATGTAAACTGATCATTCACAAAAGAAATACTAGTTGAAAAAATTGAATCAAACTGGGATAGTAATTTTAATTTTTCAAGTTAGTATAGGGAAAGAGGGTGCTCTGAAGATTACTGGAGTGCATATTGGTAAGGCCTTCTGGAATGTCTTTCGGGTTTAGGTTTGGCAGACTTTTCTCCTTAATTTTCCTATTCTATTTATGACCCAGAGTCTGTTATTTTCCATATTGTTCCCACTCCTTGTTAATGCTTTTTTTTTTTAATTCAACTTTGGATTTTGAGATAATTCAAAATCTGTGTAGGTTCACATGTAGTTATAAGAAATAATACAGAGATTCCAAGTTACCTTTACCTAGTTTTCTCAATGATAACGTCTTGCAAAACTATAGTACAGTTTCACAGCCAGAGTATGGACATTGACATAATGAGGATATAGTACAATTTCTTTACAAGGCTTTCTCCTGTTAGCCCTTACAGGCATACCCACTCTTCTCTGCCCAACCTCCACCTCCTCACCTCTGGCCACTATTAGTCTGCTCTCTCCTCCTACAAATTTTCGTTTCAGGAATATCATGAATGGAATAATAACATTATGTAATCTTTGGGGATTGGCTTTTTTCTCTCAGCATAATTCTCTGAGGATTCATTGAGGTTGTTGTGTAGTTGGTTCTTTTTTATTGCTGTATAGTATTCTGTGGTATAGACCTACTGTGTATTGTTTAACCATTCACCTGTTAAAGGATTTTTTTTTTTATAGTTTTTTGGCTATTATGGATAAAGCTGCTATGAACATTTGTGTATAGGTTTTTGTGAATATGTGTTTTCGTTTCTCTGGGATAAATGCCCATGAGTGCAATTGCTGGGTGATATGGTAGACATATACTTAGTTTTTTAAGAAACTATCAAACTGATTTCCAGAGTGACTGTACCATTTTACTATTCCGATCAACAATGTGTGAGTAATCAGTTTTTTGATCATTGCCAGCATTTGACATTGTCACTGTTTTTAGCCATTATGATAGGCTCGTAGTGATTGCATACTGTAGCTTTAATTTGCATTTTCCTCTTGGCTAATTGTGTTGAACATCTTTTCATGTGTTTATTTACCATCTGTATATTTTTTTGGGTGAAAAGTCTGTTTATGTTTTTTGTTTATGTTCTAATTAGGTTTTTTTTTTTTTTTTTACTGCTGTTGAATTCTAAGAATTTTTTTCCTAATATATTCTGGCTATTAGTCTTTCATTGTGTATATATAACAAGTTTGCATATATTTTCCGTCAGTAATTACGTCTTTTCATCCTTAGAAGATTAGAAGTTTGGCAGATCAGAAGTTTTTAGTTTTGATGAAGTTTAGTTTATCAGTTTTTCTGTTTATGGATCATGTTTTTGGTGTTAATTCAAAGAATTCTTTGCCTGGACCTAGAGCCCAATGATTTTCTTCCTTTTTTACCCCCTAACAGTTTTATTGTTTTATATTTAATTCTGTGTTCCATTTTGTGTTAAATTTTATATAATGCCTGAGATTTAGGTTGCGATTCATTTTTCTTGCCTATACATGTCAAATTGCTCCAGCATCATTTGTTAAAAAGGCTCTCCTTCCTCCATTAAATTGCTTTTGCACCTTGTTAAAATCATCTGGGCATATCCCTATGGTCCTATTTCTGGGTTCTCTATTCTCTTCCATTGATTTGTGTGTCTGTCCTTCTACCAGTATCATGGTCTTGATTACTGTAGCAGTAAACAGTTCTTGAATCAGGTAGAATAATTCATCCTGTGTTGTTATTATTTATAAAAATTGCTTAAATTATTTTAGGTTCTTTGCGTTTTCATTTAATTTTAGGATAATCTTTCTGTATTGACAGTCTTATTGGGACTTTGATAGGAATTGTATTTAACCTGTGTATCAATTTGGGGAGAATTGATGTCTTTACTAAATTGTATCTTCTAGTCTATGAACATAGTATATCTTTCATTTAAATCCTTCATCTCATTCATCAACATTTTGTACTTTTTAGCATTTGTCCTTGACACGTTCGATTTTTCTCCACGTACCCGTTTCCTTTGCTAGTTTTCTTCATTTTAGTAAATGACACCATCTACTTAGCTGTGAGGTAATCCTTGATTCTCCATTTCCCTCCCATCTATGCTCTATCCCATTCATCAGCAAGGCCTTTAAATTCTTAACACTGAAACATGCCCTGAGTCCCACTGTGCATAGCATCACATTTGCTACCACCACCTTTTCCAACCCTTCTTACTCTTTAAGCCTTCCTTGCTTTCACTCTGGCCCCTGAAGCACATTCCTTACTTAGTATCCAGAATGACCTTTTTCATATACAAATCAGATCATGTAATCCCTTTGCCCTATACATTCCGGGGGCTTCTTATAAAAATCCCAACCCTGGGGGCACCTGGGTGACTCAGATGGTTAAACATCTGCCTTCCACTCAGGTCATGATCTCCAGGTCCTGGGATTGAGCCCTGCATCAGGCTTCCAGCTCAGCAGGGAGCCTGCTTCTCCCTCTCCCTCTCCCACTGCTTGTGTTCTCTCCTTCTCTGTCTGAAATGAATAAAATCTTAAAAAAAAAAAAAAATCCTAGTCCTGTACGTTGTCTCACAAAGTCCTACATTATCTGGCCTTTGTCTGCCTATCTGACCTCTCATACCACTTTCTCCATCATCCACTGTCTTCCAGCCACACCGGAGGGTCTGCCCCTATTGTCCATTCTGCTGGAGTCAGGTGTGGTTTTCCCTTTAAACATACGATGCTGCTGTTTTCTCCAGAAGGGCTTACATGTACACACAGTAATTTTATCTTTTATCATAGATTTTACCAGGTCATTCAGTGCGACATAGTCACTGGCCCACCCGTATCCCTCAGTATCACCTTTAAATGACTTAGTAAAATTGATGCAGTCTTTAATGCATTTTACACAGTTTTCATCTGTGCATTCTGAGAATCCCCAACTATATACAATTTTTAAGGATTAAGTAATTGGTTCTATAACTGTATTGTTTCCATTAGTTTTTACTTATTCTTTAAGGTAATTTGCTAAATCCTCTCAAACTGCCATTTCAGTGTGAAGGTGTCACCGTCAGTCAACACTGGTCACCATCAGTTCTTGATGAATCTCTCCTTGTGATTGCTAGTGATTTGAAGAATGACCTCTAGTTTGTTGAAAATGGCTATTTAGGGAAAGAACTACAGCCCATGGGAAAATGAGGCAGAGTTTTGCTTCCCATTAGAAGGAATGCTGTCTGTGATGGTGATGATTAGGAAGGATAAAAGAAGACGAGTGGCATTTTCAGTGCTATGTCTGTTTTTCTTACATGCCAGACACAGCAGCTGTCCTGTAAAGTACCCTTTCCCCTCCTCGAATCTACTTTTGTAACTGCTTAGGCTCATTAGTACCGCCTGACGTCTTATGTATTTGTTTTATTTAAAACCTACTTAAGACTCATTTCCTTTTATTTTAACTTTATTGCTTTATTTAATTCATAGTGAATCTTTTCTTTTCAAGGCACATTTTACGATATGGAATAAGCTGTTGGAAAGATCTCGGAAAATGGTAAGTGTTTTTGACGGCTAATGAGTATTGTTCCATGAAGAAATTTTTACTGGAATCAAGCAACAACACAACAAATAAAAAAGAGAAGAAAAGAAAACAAAAGAAGAAAGTCATTAGTTGTCTCAATAGCTAAAGCAGTGTTATAGTTGGTGACCCCAGTAGTATCTTGGCAAGAGAATAGTTGTAATTCATCATTTCTCCTGTTTTTGTTTGTTAATATCATGGAGATGATACTGTAGAACTTGAAGAATAAGAATGCTGCTCTATAGTAGTAATAGTTCTTAGTGGGTCCAGTGGTGTTAATTAGGTCTTTGATAATTTTTTTGTAAACTTAATGAGCATTGGAAGATTAAAGTTTGTCATATATTTTGAAACTGCCTTGACATTGGTTGACATATTAAATGTGCAAATGTCCTGAAGAACAGTATTTGAGTACTTGTGTTTTGTAGTTCGTTCTGTGTCGGGCCTTTAAACTGACACAGTAGGGATGATTGCGATTTCACCAGTAGGAGTGATTGTATTTCTTGACCTATTCTATCCCTATTTACTCTTTCATAGGCTAAGTGCTCGTCCTTTACGTACATCATTGAATAGCTGGTCCATGTAATCTGGCCTCATGAACCCTTCCTAGTTACCCAAATTTTGCACTCTAGTCAAGCTTGCAAGCATATATCAAACTCTTTCTTTCTTTCTTTCTTTCTTCCTTCCTTCCTTCCTTCCTTCCCTTCTTCTTCTTCTTCTTCTTCTTCTTCTTCTTCTTCTTCTTCTTCTTCTTCTTTTTTAGTTTGCAGTCTTATATCACTTTATTTTTTCCCAGCTCTACTGAGATATAATTGATATATATATAGCATTGTGTAAGTTTAAGATGTACATTGTAATGATTCGATATATGTATGCATTGCAAACTAATTACCACAATAAGGTTAGCATTGCCATCACCTCACAGAGTTACATATTCTGTGTGTGTGTGGTTAAGAACTTTTAAAAACTACTCTCAGTAACTTACAAATATATGATATTAACATTGTTAACTCAGACTTATTTTCAAGTTTGTTTGTTCATGGCACTTTTTCTGTGTGAACTCTATCCTTTTCTCCTCCTCTCTGTGAATGAGTACATCCTACTCATTCTTCAGTACCTCATCCAAGTCTTACTGTCTTCATGAACCATTTGCAAAGTGACCTCCGAACAAATATCCATTCTTACAATTTCCACTTGATTATATATCTCTTCATATGGTTTTTCAGTTGTTTTTGCTAGTGCATTTACATGCAGTCTGTTAACCCATTCAGGGTTTATTATGAATGTGTCATGGCAAATTTTGAGCTCAACCTTTGATGTATGGGTTACCTGGTAAGTATTGATTATTTTTTATGATGATGTACAAACCTAGTCTCTATAATGAATTTACAGATAGAATTTATTGTTGAGGCACTTAGTCATAATATTCTTGTGTAAAGAGTATATATAATTTCCTCATGAAAAGAAAGTACTTCTGAATGGATAGAAAAACTTTGTTTCCTTGGTAACAATTGCCATTTTATTATTTATTTTTAATTTTATATATACATATATATTATTCAAGTGTAATTAATACACAGTGTTATATTAGTTTCAGGTGTACAATGCAACGATTCATCAATTCTATACATTACTCAGTGCTCATCATGATAAGTGTGCTCTTAATCCCCTTCTCACCATAATCATCATTTTAGGTTAGGAAACTAGAGGAGAAACTAGTTTATAATAAATGTAGAAAAATAGTAGGGATAGTAACCTAGAGTATGTAATAGAAATCAGGGAATAGCTGTTTTTGCAACATTTATTCTGGTTCAGTATCCTTCTGTCCATTTTGTTTAAAGGGAGTAGGTTAAACTTATGGTACATTGATTCAACTAGCATAGACATGTTGAATGTGTGTTACCTGCCAGGAGCTGTAGGTAAAGAAATGAACAAAACCTACTTACTGGCCTCAGGGAGGCTACTTTAATGGAAACAGACTTGCAAACTGACAGCTGGGTGTACAAGTGGAATTCTGGCATACAGCAAAGGACCTGGACTAAGCTGGAGGATTGGTTAAGGAGGGTTCCCAGGGATTGGTGTTGCTTAAGTTGGCTTAGAGGATGACTGAAAGTGGGCCTGGCAGATAATTTGCTTGGGGATGGGTTGGTGGTTATCTCAGAGGAGATAATGCCTAGAGAGAGGGAGGAATGGAGAGAGTGATGAGTATAAGATGGATCTGAATGTCCAATTCTGTAGGGTGGGTGACGAATCCAGCAAAGTCTGTTGGAAATAGCATATGAAGAGGGGCTTGTCTTCCATGGTAAAGAATTTGCATTCCCCTCCCGGAAGTGTTTGGGGGTCACTGGGGAATGTGAAAAAGGAAATAACCTACGGGTCAGCTATTTGTGTTTAAAGCTTACTCTGGGGCGGCATGGAAGAAAGCTGTGGCTTAAACTAGCAGTCCTGCTCGAGGGATAGAAGGTGGTGAGGTCCTGAAGTTCAGGTGTGGCAGGGAGAGTCACTCAGGTAGAATTAGTAGGACTGTTGGTTGAACATGCATGTACGAGAACAGTGGATTCTCGAATGGCAGGTGTGGGCAGCTGGGTAGAGACCTTCACAGGGATAAATAATGCTAGAGGTGGGGTGAGTGTTGGGGTAATGAGGAGTAAGTTTAGCTGTTTGATGTGTTTGAGTGACACAATAGAAATGTGGATGTACAGATACCTATTTCTACTAAGCCTGTAATATACCATATTTAAAAATAGAATTCTACCTCCCAAGAAAATCCGTTGATTTAAAATACTGTGTTACAGCATTGCTGGTATTTTTCTTACGTGAGTGATTTCATTTTGTAATTGAAAAATAAAATGACAGACTGGAGAAGCCTAGCTATATGCTTCAGATTATATTTTTAATGAAATTGTTGTACTTTACATGATAATTTATATTGGGAACCTGGCCTTGTGCATTTTCTTCTTTTTCTGCTTAACTTTCTATAATAATTACTAATGAAGGAGAAAGACCAAGGGTTATTATAGGAAAAGGACTGTGGAATGACTTAAAATGGTGGGGGAAGGGTAAAACTAAAAGTGGTTATTTATTAGAAAAGTAAAGTATTCATGTATTTACAGGTAACTGAAGATCAAACTAAACCTACAGAGGAAAGTGCATCGACCTAATAACTTCTTAAAATTTAAATATGTATAATAAAATAAAGTTTTATATGAAATATTTGTGTGTGCTTATAAAGATTAACTATTGGGACACCAGGGTGGCTCGGGTGGGTGTCCCACTCTTGGTTTTGGCTCAGGTCATGATCTTGGGGTCATGGGATGGAGCCCTGTCAGGCTCAGTGCTCAGCATATGGGCACCATGCTCAGGGTGAAGTCTGCTTGGGATTCTTTCTCTCACTCTGGCTCTGCCTCTCCTCCTCCTTGAGTACTCCCTCTAAAATAAATAAATAAATCTTAAAAAAAAAAAAAAAGAAAATTAACTATCTTTTTTCTCCCTAAGACTTATACTGATGTTTATTTTCCCTCTATTATTATTATTTACTTTTTACTTTCTTTAAAGGTTAAAACTACTTATGCTGTTCACAGTAAAAATTTTGTGCAGAAACAACCCTGTTCTCTCTGACTCCCCAAATAGAACACTTTGACATGTTTTCTCTGTTCAGTCCTTTTTCTACATGTATAAACATATATGTATAAATACAAATGGGATCTTTTAAAAACATAAAAGATCATTCTAGTTTCCATTTTTGCCATTTTAAACAATGGCACAATAAATATTCTTGTACAAAAGTGCAAGTGTTTTGTGGATAGGTTAACTGAGAATTTACTAATTAACTGAATATTCACTATAGACTGGCCATGATGCTAAGCCTTTCACATGGAATCTGTTATTTAATCCTCACAATGTTTGAGAAAGTGTTTCTGTTTTGTAAATGAGGAAACAGACCATAGAACTGGCCAATAGCAAAGCCGGAATTTGGACCCAGGTAACTTCATTCGTCCTCTGCACTGCACACATATAAATACTTTGTAGGAATAGATTTCTGATAAGAGTTACTGGCAGATGCTACCAGATCTTAGCCTCCCAAAGGTTTTGCCAAATTACAGTCACAATAACAGAGTTCCTGCTTTCCTGTGACTGGGGCAAGTCTTGATTGTCAGTCTGTTAAAACTGTTTTGCCAAAAAATTTCTTCCTGGGTGTAGTGCACAGGTTTCTTCTGAATTTCTTTTCTTTCCTGGGTGCGATCTACTTCTTCCTAGAGACTGTATCTTCCTTTTGCTTTATTAACTTTTCATTGTGCTGGAGCCCGTAGTAAGTTACATCTTGAGAAAAAGCATCTAAGAGGTTAACCCCTTGCATGTCTAAAGTACCTTTGTTTTGCAAACTTAAGTTTGATCAGCTGTTTGGCTGGTAGAGAATTGTAGATTGAAAAATAATTTCTGTCAAGACTTTGAAAGCAACTCAAGTATCTTCTGGCAATGTTGCTAATGAAAATCTGATACTTATCTGATTTTGTTCCTTTTTATATAAGCTATTCTCTGTAACCCTGCCTTCCTCCATACCATTCACCCTGCCATATACCCACATGCATACACACCCTGGATACTTTTAGGATCTTAATTTTCTTGGTGTTATAAAGTGGTAAATTTTATGTCTGTATCTAGATTTTTTTAAAAAATTTTATTTATTTATTTCACAGACAGAGATCACAAGTATGTATCTAGATTTTTATTTTTTTTTTATGACATCTCTTGAGCTCTAGGAAGTTTTTATTTCTAAATATTTTTCTTTTCTGTTTCTCTAATACCTTTTATTAGATTTTGGATCTTCTGTATTGGTCTCCTGTATTTCCCCTCCCCCCTCTTTTTTTTTTTCATTTATATCCTAATCTTTTTAATTAAACTTCTTATACCACTGACAGTTATGATAAGGGTTCAATGCTAGAATGAAGAGCTCTTCAGTCTTGGTCATAGATGTCTTTACTGACTGCTCTCATTCTTCCCAGATAGTGCTCCCACTTATTTCATGAGATCCTTCCGTTAGTTTACCTGGGGGGAAATACTGGGGTTCATGCCCTTCTGTATTTGTTGATAGGGGATGTGGGGTCAAGGTCAGCTGGTTTATATATAGACTTTTAATTCCTTTCTTTTTAGCCCTTCTTCTGTTTTCTGTCTTCTACCACCGGAGCTTCTCCAGGCTCATCTGGGCAGGTTGTCTGTCTCTTCTGACAGGCTCTCCACATTCTAAGTGGTGACATCCTCTGCTGTTCTATTAGTCCCATCTTTTGGAAATTTCCCATCTGCTGCAGCTTTCCTCTCCCATCCCCTTGGTGAATTTATACTTCGATTTTTAAAAAATTATGAACTATTTTGACCATACAGGAAAATAACAAAATAATTTAACCCCTGTTTGAGTAGATATTTATTCTACTTTTTTGGATACCTAGCACTCCTTGAACACCCACTCTGATAACTTCCCACTCTATGGATCTTATCTCCATAGAGTAGAAGAAGTAGTAGAAGAAGAAGAGTAAAACATAATTTCCAAAATTTCCTTGTATCTGGGGGCTCAGGCAGGCATCCTAGGTCCCCAGTTAGATATACTTGTATGAAATTGAGACGGGACACCGTGAAGACAGTGCGGCTGATGGGATCCATTTTGTTAGGGGAGCAGTGACTTGTGGTTTTCAAGGCAGCAGGGGTTCAGTGAGCTATGCTCAGTAGTTCTCCCCCTACAGCTGCTCTGCTGTAATGACATGTTTCAGGGTTATATAACCAGATTGCCAAGCCTGAGGCCATTTGTGAGCCATTTGTTTTTTGCTTAAACTGGCAAGAGCAGATCCTGTTTGCAGCCAAGAATGTTGACATATAGTCACTACCCAAATTTAACCATTGTTAACCTTTTCCTTATTTATTTCAGATCCTTTTAAAATAAAAAGCTACCTATCCGTTGAAAATCTCCCTTTTGTCATTTCCTTCCAAGAACTACCATCTTTTTCATGCATATCTTTAACCCTTCATGATTTGCAATGTATAGTATCCTCTGTGTTTTAAACTAAACATAATTTGTTTCATGATATGTATCCTTTTAAAGTTTATCACTCAGCATTTTAGTTTTCACATTTAACATGTAGATATGTGTAGAGCTAGTTTATGTGCAGACCTGGTTGATAACGTTTACTATTCTGTTGTGTGATTAATCCCACAGTTAATTCATTTCTCTTGTTTTTGGCCATTGAGGATGGTCTTGATTTTTTATTTTATTTTATTTATTTTTTTAAGATTTTATTTCCAAGTAATCTCTGTACCCAACATGGGGGCAAACCCACAACCCTGAGATCAAGAGTTGCATGCTCCACAAACTGAGCTAACTAGGTGCCCCTTTTTAGTATTACAAAAAACATTCTTGTTTATGTTTCTTTGTGTACATATTTGACAGTATCTCTAGGGTATATACCTAGAAGTGAAACATCCTCAGCTTTACTAAATGTTATTAATTACCGCAATAGTTGTAGCAGTTTACTCCCTATCAACAGTGGTGGGTCTGTTTCCCCTCTCCTTCACAAACAGTTACCATTATCAAACATTCAGGTTGGTTAGATATGCCTGATCCTAACATTTAATCAGTTTGTTTAATACTGAACATATAGCGACAATGAGCATCTTTTCATTTGTTTTTTATCCAAGAAGGTTTCCTCTTCTGTGAGTTACCAGTTTATCCCCCCGTACCCTTTTTAAGTGGATCTTTGGTCCTTTCATCAGGAGTTCTTCATATATTCAGAAAGTTAAACTTTTGTTACTGTAAATACCTTCTCTAGTCTGGCTTACCTTTTAACTTTGTGTTTATTTTTAATGTGGTCAAAATTATCCATTTTTTCCTTTATGATTTATATGTGCCTAAGAAATTCAAGAAAGCCTTTTCTAACTTGAAGTAACACTGGGTGTTGAAGTAACACTGGGTGATGAAATCACTAAATTCTACCCCTGGAACTAGTATTACATTGGATGTTAACTGACTGGAATTTAAATAATTCAGGGTTCTGGTAGGATCAGTCCTTTCTTAGTCTTCTTTTTCAACATTATAGTAGGTATTGTGGGATCATCTTGTCAACTTCCGAGCCATTTGTCTTAAAATCTGCTTTTCTGATACTGAAATTTCTCCATGAGGTTTCTTTAGGATATGGTAAATATATTTTCATTTCTTTCAGCTTTTCATGTCATTATGTTAGGTTTTCTCTTTAAAAAAGCATAGAGGAATCTTTTTTTCTCCCTTAAATCCATGCTCCTGCAATGATTGTGGCTTTGACGGTTTCTGCTGTAATTAAATCAGTATTTGCTTGTATTTTAAGACTCTTTTGTTAAAACCATGTATTCTGGTTTGGGTTTTTGTAGCTTGCCAGCACATTTAATCACTAAATAAGGATCCTCTGTATCCCTCATAATGATTTCATCCCCTTTAATCTGGTTTCCTTAATTTATTTTTTCTTTAATCTCGTTCTGTTATTACCTTGGGTTTTTGTTACTATGTTCCTGGTATTTGGTTTTCTGTCCTGTTACTTTCAACTTTTTTTTTTTTTTTTTGTCATTATGTTTCAAGTCTCTTTTGCAAATAGCATGAAATTGTCATTTTTTTTTTTAAAACCGAGTCTTGGAATTACCATCTTTTTTTTTTTTTTTTTAAAGATTTTATTTATTTATTTAACAGACAGAGTTCACAAGTAGGCAGGGAGGCAGGCAGAGAGAGAGGAAGGGAAGCAGGTTCCCTGCTGAGCAGAGAGCCTGATGTGGAGCTCCATCCTAGGACCCTGGGATCATGACCTGAGCTGAAGGCAGGGGCTTTAACCCACTGAGCCATGCAGGTGCCCGGAATTACCATCTTTTAATAAGTTTTAGTGCGTGTATATTTTACAATGAGTATCATTTCTTTACATTATTGTTTGTCAAGTATTTGATCTGATTTTTCTTATTTTCTCTTTTTCCTTTCTTAGACTATCTATTTTCTTTCTTCTTCTTTTTTTTTTTTTTTTTTTTTTTTTTTTTTGAGAGAGAGAGATTGTGAGCAGGGTGAGGGTAGAGGCAAAGAGAGGAAGAGAGAATCCTAAGCAGGCTCCACACTAAGTGCTGAGCCCGACATTGGGCTGGATCTCACCGCCCTGAGATCATGACTTGAACCCAAACCAACAGTCAGATTCTTAACTGCCTGAGTCAACCAGG